CTCTTATGGATTTCCGAACCTTCTTGTAAGTTGTCATTTTCACAGTTAACACCCCTTTATTTGACAACTTAGTTTGCTCCTTACATTTCCATATTTATTTCCAGAATGGTTGTACAGTTTTGTCACTTTGCGTTTGCTTTTAGTTTTCTTTGTATCATTAGTGTGTTTGTACATCTGTCCTTAGGTGCTTACTTGCTCTTCAAATTCTTGTTGTTGTTTTCAGATTAGCTTTAGCTTGAGCAAAGCATTGACTTTTTATAATTTTAGCATTGTGTTTTGAATACTACATAGCAAATTTGATGCTGAGCAACTTGTATTTACAGGAATTATGGGTTTGTTCGAAGTTAGAACCTTTTTTTTAAATCTAATTTTTGCCTTCAAAATCTGTATTGCTGCGGATCAACTTGTTGGCCAGTTATATCCAGGATTTCAAGCATCTCAGATGCAATGGGAGAAACATGATGGTAAGTTCCTCTTTTCTAAAAGTAAATTATTTTGTCTTGCCTTCTATACTTCCCCGGATATTCAAGGATATCTCTTGGTTATCGGTCATATTCATAGCTGCCAAATTATTCGGACTGCCAATATAGACTTGTCGGTTGGCAAAACCGATAAGTTTGTGTTTGACAATAATGGAAATGTATACTTGGAAAGAGGAGATGGGGTTGCTTGGGCCACAAACACTACCGGAGAAAACGCTACATCCCTGGAATTGCTAGATTCGGGTAACTTGGTGCTTCATGGGGCTGATAGAATAATGATTTGGCAAAGTTTTAGCTACCCCAGTGATACACTTTTATCCGGCCAGGAGTTTGTGGTTGGAATGAGACTAAAAAGTTTTCCCGCAAATAATATGAGCGATTATCTTGAATTTCGATCTGGGGATTTGGTCTTGTACACAGGATTCCAGACTCCACAAACTTATTGGTCTTTGTCGGGCGAAATGCAGGAAACCTATAAGAATTTCACCGGAAAGGAGTATTCTGCTGCAGTTTTAGTTTCCAACTCTCAGAATAAAAAGTTGATATGTCAGTTTAACTTCTCTCAGAATTCTGATATGAATGTCACATGGGCTGCCAGATTAGGAGCAGATGGAGCAGTAATGTTCTATAATCTAAGCCAGAAAGGTAAAGCAATTGCTGAGGCAAAAAAGATACCACAAAACCCCTGCAACATTCCTGTTACTTGTTCCCCGATAATGGTGTGCTATTTTGACACATTGTGCCAATGTCCAAAACCTCTCACCACTCCAAAAGGCTGCAGCTCACCAATATTCTCTACTTGTGATTCGGCAGATCTACTCTACGTTGGTCGGAAGCTTGATTATTCTGTACTTAAGTTTGTCAAACCCAATATGAGCTCCAGTATAGATACTTGCAAGAAAGCTTGCTTGGGAAACTGCTCTTGCAGTGCACTTTTCTTTTAAAACAGTACCGGGAATTGCTATTTGTTTGACCGAGTTGGAAGTCTGAAGCATGCTGAGCAGCATTCTAGAGGTTTTGTTTCATTTGTTAAGGTCTCGAGGAATGAGAATGGCTGGAAAAGTCCTGCTAATGGTGGGCATTTTATATTTGTTGTGATAATAGCAACAGCAACGGTTCTAGTTATTGCTGGTCTTCTTTTTGTGGGATTCTATTACTACCGTAAAAAGAAGAGATTTCCGGAATCTGCTGAAGAGAAGTTGGAGGATGACAATTTACTGGAGTGTTTTCCGGGGATGCCTGTTCGTTATACTTATCGTGAACTTTGTAAGGCAACTAAAAACTTCTCTAAAAGGGTTGGCCAAGGCGGATTTGGTTCGGTCTACCAAGGTGAGATGCCGGATGGTACCCAATTGGCTGTTAAAAAATTGGAGAGCATTGGACAAGGGAAAAAGGAGTTTAGGGTTGAAGTTAGAATCATTGGAAGCATCCATCATGTGCACCTTGTCACGCTCAAAGGCTTCTGCTCTGAGGGTGATCACCGTCTTCTTGTTTACGAGTTCATGGGCAAAAAATCTCTAGATAAATGGATATTCAAGAATAATGAAGAAAGTAGCATTTTGGATTGGAATACAAGATTCAATATTGCACTGGGTACTGCAAAGGGATTGGCTTATCTTCATGAGGAATGCGAATTCAAGATTGTGCATTGTGATATAAAACCTGAAAACGTTCTTCTTGATGATAATTTCAATGCCAAAGTTTCAGATTTCGGCTTGGCTAAGCTTATTAGCCGTGAAGAAAGCCTGGTATATACAACACTGAGAGGTACAAGGGGATACCTTGCACCCGAATGGATTACCAACAACCCTATATCAGAGAAGAGTGACGTATACAGCTATGGTATGGTCTTGTTCGAGATAATCGGGGGTAGGAAGAGTTATGATCCGGAAGAAATTCCCGAGAAAGCTCATTTACCTTCTTTTGCCTTGAAGATGTTGAAAGAAGGAAATCTGAAAGAAGTCCTTGATCCTATGCTAGATATCGATGAAAACGATGAAAGCTTTGTTTCTGCTATAAAAGTTGCAGTATGGTGCATACAAGAAGATTTCCCTTTAAGACCACCGATGACTAAAGTAGTTCAAATGCTCCAAGTCTCTGTCATTTACCCCAACCACCAATCTCTTCGGTCCCAGGCATTTTTAAATGGAGCAGTGACGAGGGTACAACATCAGGAACTACAGATTACAATAGTGATGCATGGTTGTCAGACATTAGACTATCAGGTCCAAGGTGATTCAAGCCATTGTTATAGTTAGATACTTGAACATGTGTCGATGGAAGCATAAAATTGTGCAGTTTTGGTTCCGGTTCATCGATTCAGTTGCCTTAAAGGTTGTATGTCGGTCGTTATAAGCTTGGTTACATTACGTTTTCACTGTGGCCAGAAGTATACCGGATGAAGATGACATCCAACCAACCACTCGTGTAATAATTGTCCACTCTCGAACCCTATTAATTTCAAAACCTCTTTATCTTTCCATGCAAGTTGCAAGACAGCAGCCCTTGTTCTTTTTTCCAGAGCAGCAGCACTTTTCTCTCAAGGAATCGTTTTGCTGGGATCCCAGTTACTTGCCCTCTAAGAAAAATCATGTAACAGATATCATGTGAGATGATAATCATCTCAGAAGAATCTGGACCGCTAATTTATCAAGCATGTGTCAGTTTATTGACTTTTTTGTTTTCTTTTTCTGCAATCTATTGTGTTTAGTCTCTTCCCCTTTAGTTATGTAGTGTTACAGTGTCAAAAATCCAGGTTGATTACGAAGGCTCAATATACATTAGCTCTTGAATTTGATAACTTTTTCTTAATTTATTATTTCAGTCTTTTTAAGATTTAGGATTAAAGTTTTGATTAGAAAAGATCAATAAAATTTCAAATTTTGATACGATTGAATTGAGTTATTTGATTTTTTTTATTCGAATCAAGTTGAATACGTTTGAATAAAGTGAATAACAAATTTCTATTATACAAATAAATCCCTCGGCAAAATTTGGAAAAAATCCTCAATAATTCAAGAAAATTTTACATTATTTTTTCCAAGAACTTTTAAAAAAAATCTTTCAAAGATTTATAAAAAATAAAAGTTAAATGATAAATTTGACAACCTTAAACAAATAGAATACCAAAGCAAGTTTATCATACTAAAATATTTTAACGTATATTATTTTCACTCCATTCGAACATATTTAATTAATTCAAATTTCATTTTACACAACATTAAAGCCCAAATTGTGGGAAAATAAACAAGGTAGAATTGTGGAGATGTATGTTTTTTTAATAGTTTAGAGTGATTGTAAAAAATATTATATTTGTTTATAATTTTTTAATAATAATAGTGTAAATATATTCTATAGACGCATATGCTTAAACCCAAAAATGATATTTTAAATTGAATCTGATTTTTTTTAAGAAAAACAATATTTTGGTAGAGCACAAGGCTTTTAACCTTGTGGTCGTGGGATCAAGTCTCACTGAGAGCAATTCATAACGGAGGTCTTCCACGGAAGCTGCTCTCAACCTGACGTTGGAGGCAGCCTACTACCCTACCTCCCCTTTACCCCATTACATATGGGAATAGAGTCGGCTAATTTTTATTTATGTTATACGGCTTTGCTTTCATCTCCGGATAGGTGATTCTAAGTTGTAACAATCAAAACTTGAACACGAAAGCTCACTCTTTGCTGTCAGGTGGCATTTTTATTTTAACACGCGGTCCATTGTATATATTTTGTGAACATCATGCATCCACCTCAAATTTTCACTTCCATAACTCCAAATATCTATTAATCTGTGGAACAGATTGTCCAAAAAGGAATATTACAATCATTTGAGGCTTTAAAATACAAAAATCACTGCAAAAACAGATTATTCATCTTTACTATCATAGAGAGAACCAAAACCCGTTTCATGAAACGCCCTCATTCATGACCTTGATAAATAACCCACCAAATGCATGATTTTATGTTAGGGTTTAGGGTTTATCAATAAAAGACGAAATTTAAAAGACGAAAATAGACCATCAATAAAAAAAAATATAAGAAAGTTTCTAACATATATGAAAATTTAAAAACAGACAAGTGCACCCGAACGCTTTTCCCTCGATCCATCATTGGCACCAATACTAATCAATCCTAATCTACTCGGTGATGTAATAGAAGAGTATGGCGATGTATTATAAGTTTTAAGGATAAACTATATCAATGATCATTACCGATTGGTTAAATTTTTAAAAGATAAATTACATTACAATTGTTAACATTATCCATTTATAACTAAATAAACACTCTGTCGTAGTTCCTGTCAGCTTACTCTCTACTTCAAGTATCACTTTTATCTTCATTTTAGAAGGTAAAAGAAATAATCTTGAAATTGATTCACTACAACATTACATGAAAATGTTTCCCTAGAATAACATAGAAAACAAAGTAGAAGTTGTTTTATCTATATATGAATTTTCTTCATGTGTAGCGAGTACTAATCTATCTCACATATGTATATACAGAATCAAATATATAACTAGATTATCTTCTAAATCGAGATCCTTTAGTAGGTTTACCGGGATTCCTTCCATCCCATGCAGAGTACCAGAAGAACAAAGACAACCAGAAAAGAACAGAAAAGAAGATCCGTGCACGATCCTTAAATCTATATAACTTTCCCACTAGCCCTGTTCCATGGAAAGATGGACCATAAGAACACCGCAACTGGCTGCCTTCAAAGCTGTTTCAATGGAATCTTGACTTCAAATGCAATAAGAAAACAACATACAGGAAAATTCAACTAGTTACTTGCAGAGGAAAGTATAAGGGTCTTTAACACACTCCTATTGCATTAACTTGCCAAAAAAGACAAAATATGAGCGGAAAATATCCAAAGTCCAAAACTTTCCAGAATTATTCACAACAACAAATTAATCCCAGTCCAAACGCATGAATATAGTTACCAATTTTTTTTCAAAAAGAAATGCGAAACTGGTGGAAACCTGGGGGGTCCGAGTCAGGCGGAGAAGGTGGACGGGGGGCGGCTGAGATACAACGTGGGCCGCGCGTTGTGGAATTGGGACGAAGGCGGAAGGGGAGTGAGTGACGGAGGGGATGGAATTTCGGGGGGAAGATCGAAGCTTGAAGTGAATCGGAATTCAAAGTTCTGGAAATGGAATAAGTGAAGAAATTATGGTGGCGTGAAGCAGAGAAAATGGTGAGCATTTCCATTCGTGGTTTCTATTTCACCAAATCACGCGTAAACCGATAAAAGTAGCCATTTTATAGTAGCGGGCTTCCCATATTTACATTTTCATTTTTCGAATCTTAAATTGGGCCTAGAAATTTAATGCTATTGTTTGTAGATAAAATTCGGGTTTTCACATTTTTTTATCAAACATATTAAAAAATAAATTATTCAAATTTAAATTTCAATAAATTAATTTTTTTAATAGTTTATCAAACATAGCCTCAGTTTTCTTTATGGAGTTTTTATATGCGTCGGTAACAACTCACGTCTTTTTAATTCTATCTGATGTGTGTTGTTTTAATTTATATTTATAGCCGAAACTTCATAGAGGTTAAGAAGAGTGTTGGTTATTGTCAAAATTTTTTTAAAGTATTAATTAATATTGAAAATATATATTTTAAAAATAAAAAAATTTACCCGACTCCCTTCAATTAAAAAAATTTATATTTATGAAAAATAAAAACATATTTTAACCCTGTCTTAATAAATTTATGGTTCCGCTCCTATTTGTATTGATCCAATATCTCAAGTTAAAATTGTATTAATGGTTATGGTTTTACCATAGTTGACTGTGGTGATTTGAAGGAAAGAGAGAAAGAGATTAATAATGGGCTGAGATCGAATATTCTCCTATTCAGTTTTGTTTGACAGGTATATATTTCTATGATACCAGGCAGTAAAGTGATTGATGATTATTGTTGGGTTGACAGATGAGTAATAGGGCCAGGGGAGTTTATTGAGGTTTTGATTTTATTTTATTTTTTTGTTAAAATTTATATATTTGATATAATTTTGATCTAATAGTATTTTGGTTAATGTAAAAATAAATATTTAAATTAAAAATGTAAGAACTTGTTAGATATTTAATCAAATAAATACCGAATTAAAGAAGGATAATCTCGTGTTCGTAAAATTTCTAGTCTAATAATAATTTAGGTCATTGTAAGTTTAAATATTAAACAAATTAGGTATTATCTTGTGAATTTTGAATTTTTTTATATAAAACTATGGTGAATACAAGGTAATATATGTATAAAGGCTCTCAACTATTTAACAATGAACGCTCATACTTGTACATATGCAGTGCTCAAACTCGATACCTCAAGGATAACGATAATCCCTTAATCACTACAATCGTTTGGTTAGTGCTGAATTTTGAGTTTAAATACCTAATAAGTTTTTATATTTTTTAAAATAGTCCGATATTTCGTCACCTGACAATATTTAATTCTAACTCCGTCTCTAAATACGACTGTCTGATAATAGATTTAACTGATGATGGATTACCGTGATCATGTCAAAAGATTATAATAAAATGGAAATAATGTTGGATTACATTCAAATGAGTCATGACACATCTTGAGAAAACTCCGAAGGGCTCAAACCCCTTGTACTTGTACGGAAGAGTGACAATAGAGAACAAACTGAAGACTTTGTTCATGTCTGGTTTGATAGATTTCCGTCTATGTTAACTAATCAACTCTACTGACATGCAATGCAAACCGTCACTTAAGCAGTCTATGTTAGGGTAAGCACGACGTACTTTCCGCCCACTTTGAACGAAAAGAAAGAGCCGAGACGTAGAGATCAGTCTTTTCTCGCTACAGATTTGCATGAAGTTTGTTTTCAGAAGTAAGAACACGCCAGGAACGTACTACTCTACAATGATCAGATAGATTCTACATTTAAACTAAAGTTTTCTCATTCTTAGCAAACTGAAAATTACCATAACCACCATTATCTTCCCTCGCTCTCAAATGGCAATTAAAAGAACATAAGATTATCCTAGTATATACAATAGCAGTCCTATATATATATATCAAGGGATTATGTTGTAGTATATATTTAACTTGAAAGGTCTGTGCATTGTGGATGGTGATACGATCAAGGTTGAAAGAGCGCATCCCCACATTTGCATTTCCACGCCAGGAGATAATAGCTTTCATCTTCATCGCCACGATACGTTACTTTTTCGAAGTTTTTCTTCCATTTGTGTGTAGGAATGACAAGAGTAGCCATGCAAGGCCTGCAACTCAAGCACTTGTTCACACAACTGGGAGGCTTTGACCCCAACACCGTTTCACTCTGCTGCAACCCACCTGAGTTCACTGCAAAACCTAAGCTACACATTGGAATATGAGTCAAAATAAAACAAAATTAGCTGAAAGTAAATAACCCCAAATAGTTTTTGAACTTTATTACCTGATGGCATCAGAAATATTGTAATGATCAAAGTCACGGTGATAGTAACTTTGAGGCCATTGGGGCAGACTCTTGATGAAGCGGCCATCAGTGCTTGCTTAATGTGACCAAGTGTTGTCTGTGAGGAAGGGATATTGTTTTGAAGAGGATGGAGGGGTGTATATATATATATGTTTGAAATAATTTCGAAGTTGTCTGCCTGTAGAAAAGGAGACATGTCTGGGGCAGATGGCTTGTTCACCAATTAAAAGCTTTTCTTCATTGAAAAAAAGCAAGGAAATTGTTTCTCTTTGTACTTCTTGGAAACTGGTGCACTTGACTTTAAACGCTTCAACGACTTCAGATCATTGTTTTTGATGACCTTCCTTTCTTGACTTGACCCTCCGTTATCATCTCACCCGACAGGGAAATATTATGTGTAGATGGAGATATATTAATGTTACTAATATTACCCCGGTTAACATTTTGTTATTTAATGGTTTCATTGTTCATTTCTATAAAGAGATGGACGAATGAATTTATATTGGGCGTAAACTTAAAAAGATATGTTAAATCGTAAAGGCGTAAAATTATAAAATTTTGAGAAATATTAAATAAGATAATTAATAAAAAGTTCTTAAAATATATATAAAAAATAAATTTTTTAAAGATACGACTGTCTCTTACTCGTATTTTACTTGTGACAGTGAGCCAACAGGAACGAGGAAGCTGCTTTAATCTGGGAACTAGCCTTTATTGTATTGTCAAGAGTACGTATATCAATATCAAAGTTTCTCTCGGAACAAAAAAATATATACATCGAAGTTTCTCGGGGCTTCAGAAACCTCCTGTTTGTACTAGAAACCAGCATCATACCCATGCCTTATCCCATACCTTTTTCTTTTTGAAAAAAAAAAATCAACTGTCTCTGCTAGGGTGAATGGGATCTATGCAGTTCCATAAATATCAAGATTTAAATTTCATCAACAGTCTAATTTTATTAATATATAATTAAAATAAGAAAATAATTTTGAAAATTAGAGTAATTAAACTATGAGTAATTTGAAAGCTAAGTAATTAAATTAAAAAAATTAAACTTAGATAATCAAAATAGGAGTTAAAAGATAGTTGAGTGGTGAATAATGTAATTTACCCAAATAAAAGTGTAACATACAACAATTCCAAGATACCAAAACGAAACAAAAAAATAACATTAAATATGATTTTAAAAAACAAAAATCTAAATATAAAAAACTAAATCACAAAAAATAATAATTTAGATATTAAACATATAATTTATCCTTATTTATTTTAGTCTTGTCTGAATTATAGTACGATCATTATAGACTTATAGTTTCTGATGTCGCTATAATATATCGTCATTTAAAATAGAGAGATATTTTTATGCAGGGGTTTATTTGCAGGGATTACTTCACATTACAGACGTGCATATGAGGACTGCATATGAAGATTGTTCAACTACGTATTTTATTTATTTATTTAAGCATGCATTACATTTTATCTTATTATTAATTTTTTGACTGGCCGGAGGTCTTCCACGGAAGCTGCTCTCAACCTGGCGTTGGTGGACAACCTACTACCCTACCTCCTCCTTACCCCATTGCATATGGGAATAGGGTTTCGTTGTTGTTGTTGTTGTTATATGAAAGCAAATCCATTTATCTGGTTTTATTTGAATACCAACTCTCAAACCTTGTCAAGGATAGTGGTGCAGCGCACCCAACCATTGAGGACAAGAGAAGAGCCAGTAACCCATTTTGCCAATTTTACATCTTTATCATTTCCCAACTCATTTAGATTCCACTAACATACGTGTGGAATTGCCCATACCCAAAATACTTTGATCAAATCGAATTGAGTTAAATTGTAAAATAAAATAATTTACTTGAAACTAATTTGAAATATTTTTATCATGTGAACAAAATTATGATGTTAAAAATATTTGTTCTTGTTATTATTTTGTAACTAAATTATAGTAAAAATTACATCAGTTAAAAATCAATATCAAATATTAAGCATAAAGATCTTTGTATGTGATGATTTTACGGGTTGGAAGTATGCCGGTTATCTTCTTCGATCAAAAAATCAAAACTAGGCACCATATTAACATTGCAATAACCTTATTTGCTATTTTTATTTTCCATTTTTCGTCTTCCGAGCTCAGCTACTATCAAGTTCATGTCCTCAAACTGGTTTTTTTTATCATCATCCATATCGACATATCCATTGTCGATGATTGCATGCTCTTTCGGGAGCTGTGGGCATGATTATTCGAATCATATTTTTGGGAGGTTAGGTAATTCAAAGCCATAATCATATCAGAGATGGATCGAGAGTGTTAACGGGATGATCTCTTTCTTAAAATTTTAAATTATCGTACAATTTAAAAAGTATGTACTTTTTTATTGATAATTTGTTATCTAACGTGGATGTGGGATCCTGGAATATAAATGGTTGTGCTTGTTTGCTAGCTTTACCATCCTTGGAAATCTCATCATTCAAAGTAGTCTGATGTGATTATAAAGTAATATTTATTTAGAACATTTATTAGCCATTGATAACGTGCATACACCCTATAGACACAACTACTAAAACATATGACATCTAAGGAGAATAACACTCTATTTTATATAAAGATTAAATAGTTCTTCAAACTTTTTATAAAAAAAATCTATCATTTCAATCTTTTTGAAAAAATTATTTAAACCCCTATATATTTCATCGTTTCAATTTTCATATACACTACCATAATAACAACACAGTTTATTACGTTAACGTCGTGAATCATCCCAACAAAATTATAATGATTAATAATAATTTTTGTTGATA